GATCATGACCTGAGCCAAAGGCAGACACATAACAGACTGAGCCATTGAGGTGCCCCAAAACTGCAGATTCTTGAAAAGAACATATAGGATAAGTGGGTTGGAAAAGGGTTTGACTGAGGTACCTGGGAGTCCAGCAGATGGAGGGCTGTGCTTATGTCCCCAGGGGAGCAAGGAAACTGGCAGTGTGAGTCAGCTCCTGTCACCTGGCTGGTGGGCTGATGAAGGAGGGGAGCACACCAGCATTCCCAGACCCCCCAAGCAGGAGCTGAGAGGACATAGCACTGGAAATGCTACAGCTGCCCTAGACCAGCTCCTTTGGATTTATCATGTTCTTTTTAACTGCTTCAGTTATGAGGCAATGCAGAGTAAAAGGAAAAGTGCCCATGAAGACAAGAAAGCAGGATGCATCCAGTACTGACGAATCCACATCTACCATGAATGAAGATTTGGTATCAGTCCATGACATACCCATGTCCAAGGTAGGATGCTGAAGGTTCCGTTGAAGAAGCTTCTTCTATGCTCTACCACTTACCACCTTCTTATGTACACTGAGTGCTTTATTCATTTTTCAATCTGCAAATAGAAGAATAGAGAAAAGGGATTCCAGGGGCAGAATGAAAATGAGGTTCAGTGTCAGCAAACTCTTAGTTATTAATCACCCATGATGTTTCAGAACTGTATGCACATAACATGTGTGTATAACTCCACATAAAGGAGATGTGGAGTCATAACCCCTCTTGAGATGTGCACAAAATTGGAAGTCACACTAGGAGAGCAGCTTGCCAAAGGCTGCTTAAAGACACAAAATTCAAATGTAGATTTTATAAATTCCAGCACAGCATTCTTGCCACAGGGATGAGGGAATTTCCAGGCTCTTGTGTGCATCAATCATGTGTGTGGGTTGCCTGCTTTCCAGTCACCTCCTGAGAGGATGGAGTCCATGTACCTCCTGGAATTTGTGAGCACAGAAATTTTAGCACAATTAGAAACTAGTAATAAAAAGTTGATTTGCTCGCTAGTAATGATGTGTTTCATCTAATATTGAAAACAATTAACCAGGGGCAAAAATTACTTTCAGAAAAAGAAAATCAAAACCATACAGAATGATGAATCCAAGAGGACCCAGCCAACCCAGGGACAGAGTCAGCTTCCAGGACCTTCTGTAACCAGTACACAGTCAACATGCAGCAACCCTCAGACTCCTCAGATGCCTCCACCAACCCCAGGCAGCAGTTCTTCAACCAAGGTACCATCTTCCTCTTCCCATTAATTGTACCCTTCCACAACATGCTATTGGACTTGTCATGACCTTGAGAGAGCTTCTTAGTAATTCGCTATGATGTGTAAATACTCTAATTACCAAAAACCACCCATTATTTTATCAAATGCAGATACTGAGATTTTGGTGTATTAGAAGGCCTTTGCTATTTGCAAGCTATGCATTTTGACATAATTCCTGATCTCAAGAGGGTTACCGGCTTGGTCCAGGAGTAGGGGTGGGAAGTGGCCAGATAATTAGAGATGAACGTAAGAGGATATTTATCCCCTATGTTCTCCATTCATCCATTTCTCCTTGACTTACTGACCATTCTTTTGGATTCATGTCCAGCATTCTGTGCTTGCTCCCACATCTGCTGTGTAAACATACGCTAATTCTGTGATTTGGAATACATTGTTCCTATCTTTTCACTGGCCCAGAGACACCCCCTTCAGACCCCAGGTTGACTCATTTCCTCTGACAAGTCCTCCTCAATGCCCGACCACAGTACATCCCATCTTCCCCCTGCTCCCTTTCATGGATCCCTTTATTTTTCCTGCCCAGCTTTTGCAACCATTATAATGAGTCTAAGTTCTCCTTTCTTCCTGGACAATAACCTCAGATGATAGGGAAAGACAGGACAAGGGTAGACAGGTGAGTGCCTACAAACGTGCATCAACTTTTTCCTAGCCTGCCTTTGTACTGCCCTGACGTGGCCCCAGGGGCTGCCAGCACTCGGGGGTACAATGTCCATTCTGTGGTGAATACACAGGCAACCTGAGGGATGGGCAAGGCAGCATTTTAATCACTGACTTTTGGTATACTTTATTACCTGACCCTAAGCTGCCCCCTGACCCAGGCTGGACCCTGCCCCCAAAACACACATAGAGTTGAGGGCAGACTCCTTATGGACAAGGTTCCTCAAGTTCTGTCTCCTTCTTCTTCCTGATGTCAGCCCCCATAACTGATAATTCCTCCACAGTCTCTCCAGGACATACTTATTGGATGGAGCTAGCAACCTCTGCCCGTTTGCCTCCAGACCAGGCAGCCATGGCTGCGACCTTATCTGGTCATTGGAACTTCAGTCCCCCTGTCTCTTTGCCATGACAATGACATAGTGCCCATCTCAAGATAACTCTACTTTTGCAATGCATACTGGCTTGGAAGTGACAGTTTCTACATCCCCATCTGCCTGTACATGTGACATGGTCATTTCTTCTCACTTAAGAATCCTTCTGCTGCCCTGAAACTTCCTGGGAGCACAGGGACCCCAGGGAGGCTCCTCTGTCCCCTCAGCCTCTTACACCTACCCACCCTGTGCTCTCATTCTTCCTCTGGAGTCTGGCCACCTGCATGAGAGACCTACAAAAAGTGTGTCCAACCGTTCACTCTATGCTTCATTAGGTGAGCAGGAAAGCCTTGTTCTGACTCATCTCAGGGTCTCCCAAGGATTTTCTCTAATGTGTGGGTTCTGTTTGTTCTGTTGCCTCAAAACCAGACACAGACCAGTATTATCCTTGAGATCTGCTGTGTCTCCCCTGAAGCAAACAGCTCAGACCATCCTGTGTGCTGAACGGGGCAGGGAGATGAAGGAATTAATCTCCAGGGAAATAATCTGTTATGATTTTTAAATTTTCCCAATCAGAAAGTATATTTTCAGCATATGAATCCTGTTATTCAGATAGAAGCTTTCAGCTTAAATGAATTTGAGAGAAGCTCACAATGTTCTTGTCAATGTGTTTAAATTACTACATGTGGCAGAAGTGAATAAAGTTTTTTATTTAAATTCAATTAGGCAACATACCGTACATCATTAGTTTCATATGTACAGTTCAACAATTCATCAGTTACACATAACACCCAGTGCTCATCACCTCTGGTGCCCTCGTTAATGCCCATCACCCCATGACCCCATTCCCCCCACACACCTCCACTCCGGCAACACTCAGTTTGTTTCCTATAATTAACAGTCTCTCATGGTTTGTTTCCCTCTCTGATTTTTTTCCATTCCATTTTCCCTCCCTTCCCTGATGATCCTCTGCACTGTTTCTTATATTCCACATATGAGTGAAACCATATGATACTTGTCTTCCTCTGATTGACTTCTTTCACTTACAGTAATACCCTCCTGTTCCACCCATTTCGATGTAAATGGTAAGTATTCATCCTTTGTGATAGCTGAGTAATATCCCATTTCATATATATGTCACATCTTCTCTATCCATTAATCTGTTGATGAACATCTTGGCTCTTTCCATACTTTGGCTATTGTGGATATTGTTGCTATAAACATTGGGGTGCATGTGCCCCTTTGGATCACTACATTTGTATCTTTGGGGTAAATACCTAGTAGTGCAATTGCTGGGTTGTAGGGTAGCACTATTTTTAATGTCTTGAGGAACATGCATACTGTTTTCCAAAGTGGATGCACCAGCTTGCATTCCCATCAACAGTGTAGGAGGGTTCCACTTTCTCTGCATCCTTGCCAAAATTTGTTGTTTCCTGGCATGGTAAATTTAGCCATTCTGACTGGTGTGAGGTGCTCTCTCTTTGGGGGTTTTATTTGTATTAAGAAACCATTTCTCGAGTCTCAAGAGGAGGAGCAAGGTGGTGGAGGAGTCAATTTCATCTGGTCCCAGGAATTCAGCTAGATAGGTATGAAACCATTCTGAACACCTAGAAACTCAACAGGAGATTGAAGGAAAGAATAGCAGCAACTCTTTGAATAGAAAAGCGACCACTTTCTGGAAGGTAGGATGTGCAGAGAAGTGAATCCGAGGCGATATTTGGGAAGATAGAACACAGGGGGAGGGAGCCGGCTACTGTCAAGTGATAGAGCACTGGAGCAAAAAATTTGAACTTTTAGAAGTCCGCTTCACTGAGGGATGTCGCTCGAGGGGCTAAGTGGGGCGGGGGGAGTAGGGAGGGTGGAACCCTCATTGGGACAGTGTGGTCTCAGGACCCTCAGGGTAACAGAAAGACCGGGGGTGCCTGAGTGTGGCAGAGCTCCCAGGGATCGGAGTGGGGAAGCTGGCTGCAGAGATGGAGCCAAGGCACAGGCTCTCAGCTCGGGGTTGCCATAAACCATGATCCGTGGCACAGTCGAGCCACTGCTCCTCCAGCAGGGACCCAACAAGCGGCAGATCCAGGGAGACCCCCCCTTCCTCCCCCGGGAGGAGCAGCGCGGGAGCTCACCTCAGGGATCTGCTGGGTTTGGAGACTCCACACAGGGTTGTGTGCCAGAAATAGAAATGCTCGGTCACAGGCCAGGTGAGCACAGAGTGAGGCCAGAGAATGGGGAGACAGGAGTAATTGACTGCTTTTCTCTGGGGGCACACTGAGGAGTGGGCCCTGAGTTCTTGGCTCCTCTGGGGCGGAGATTGGGAGGCCGCCATGTCACTCTCATCCTCCAAAGCTGTACCAAAAGCTTGCAGGGAACAAAGGCTCTCAAGAACAAACCCGAGCAGATTACTTAGCCCGGCCACCGGTGAGGATGGGACAATTCTGCTCCAGCAAAGACATTTGAGAATCACTGCAACAGGCCCGTCCCCCAGAAGATCCACAAGAACCACCAGCCAAGACCAAGTTTACCAATCAATGAGAACGACAGAACGCCAGCACTAGGGGAATACTGCACATAGAATTCATGGCTTTTTCCCCATGATTCTTTAGTCTTTCAAAGTTAATTTTTTTTAATTTTCTTTTTTTTCTTTTTCTATTTTTTTGAATTTTTCTTTTTCCTTTTTTCAATCAACATCTTATCAATCTCTTTTTTAAAATCTTTTTTATTTTTCATTTTTAAAGTCATATTCTAACCCTTCTTTGTAGTAAACCTTATTTTTTGTATATATATAAGTTGTTCTCTCTTCAAAATTTTGGGATACAGTTTATTCTAACAAACCAAAATATACCCTAAATCTCTAGTGTATAGCTTTGTTCTAGTCTCCTGCCTGATCACATTCTCTCCATTTTTTTAAAATTTCTCCTCTGTCTTTTTTCAACCAACTTCTTCTCTTATCAATTCCTTTTATAAAATCTTTCATAATTTTCATCTTTACAATCATATTCCATCCCTTCATTGTATTTACCCTTATTTTTATACATATACAAGTTTTTCTTTCTTTGAAATTTTGGGAGGCAGTGTCTTCTAACAGACCAAAATACACCCAAAATCTAATGTGTGGTTCTGATCAATTCACCAGCCTGATCATATTTGATCATTTTTTTTTTTTTCTTTCTTTCCCTTTCTTTTCCCCCTGGTTTGGGTCTCTTCTGATTTGTTTAGTATATACTTTTCTGGGGTCGTTGTTACCCTGTTAGTATTTTGTTCTCTCATTCATCTATTCTCCTCTGGACAAAATGACAAGATGGAAAAACTCACCTCAAAAAAAAAGAACAAGAGGCAATACCAACTGCCAGAGACCTAATCAATATGGACAGTAGTAAGATGTCAGAATTAGAGTTCAGAATTATGATTATAAAGATACTAGCTGGGCTTGAAAAAAGCATGGAAGATACTAGAGAACCCCTTTCTGGAGAAAAAAAGAACTAAAATCTAACCAAGTCAAAATCAAAAA